CATCCCCTCGTCCACCAGGGGGCGCTGGGGCGCGGCGTGCTGCGAGTCCTCCCCTCCGCTGGGGGCGCTACAACGCAGCGGCGGCGCTCCCACCGCACCTCTCTATGGCCCCGCCCAGCCGTCAAGTGCGGCGCGGTGTCGCGACGGCGGTCGCGCTTGGCGGCGGCGGYGTCGCGCAAAGCCCGTGAAGGACGGCGGCGGGCCCGTGAGGGGGGGGCGGCGGTGTCGGCGGTGTCGGCGGCGCGATAGCGGCTCTGTCGCGACAGGCGCGCAGCCATGCCGTTCCTCGGCCTGCAGAAGCAGCTGGGCATCGATCTGGACAGCTGGCTGTTGCGGCAGAGCATGCCGCAGCCGCACAGCCAAGCCGCGGCCTGCCACGCCTTCGAACGCGAGTGGGTGGAGTGCGGGCACGGGCTGGGCCAGACCCGCGCCCGCCGCGAGTGCCAGCTCGAGTACGAGGATTTCATGGAGTGCATGAACCGCACCAAGCTGGTGGGTGAGCTGGGGGGGCTCCGCGGGGCTTTGGGGTGAGCGGGGAAGCAGAATGGGCGCGGGGGTCTGGAAGATTCTGACAAAGTGGGGGCAACATGACCGGGCTGGAGGGATTTGAGGTGCTGGGTCAGGCTGGGGAGAGGGYGCAGAGGGTCCTGGCCAAGCTCTGGGGAAGATCTGGGGGTCCCAGCCCAGGGTGGGAGCTCTGTCTGGTTATTCCCAGTGTGAAAGGGGGTCTGGACCCCAAAAATCCCTTCCCTGAGGGCTGTGGTGGCTGCAGGAGCCTGGAGAAGCTGTGGCTGCCCCATTCCTGGAAATGTTCCAGGCTGGGTTGAACGGGCTTGGAGGAATCTGATTAGTGGAAAGCGTCCCTGCCCATGGGGGTGGGACTGGGTGAGCTTTAAGGTCCCTCCCAACCAAACCATTCCATATTTTGGGGCAGCACAGAGCAGACTTTCACCCTGCCCCAGCCCTCCTCCAGCGGCATCTGCTTCCAGGACGAAATCCTGGTCAGAAAATTTGGCTGGAAACCCAGATATCATCGGTATAAAATGAATTACAACATTCTGAGCGCCCCAAAATCTTTGAGAAGAGCCTCAAACTCGAGCGAGGAGCCCCAGGGTGGGGTTTAGAGTAGGTTCCACATTTATGGGGCTGCCCTGGGGACACCCTGAGGGATCCCTGAGCCCCCCCTGTGTCCCTGCCAGGCTAAACGGCTCCGGACCATCCTGGAGCAGCGGGACAAGCTGATCAAAGAAGGAAAGTACACACCCCCCGACTACCACATGGGCAAGGAGGACCCCAGGCCGTGATTGCCACTGGAATTCCTCTCRGAAGAAAACCCCCAGGGCACGGGGTGGGTGCCCTGCCTTGGCTGAAGGGGAACAACCTCCGGTTGGGCGTGGCTCAGGCAGTAAATATCCCTTTGGAATGTCTCCTTGGCTCTGTCTCGTCTTTTTTTGGGGGAAAAACACCTTATTTCCTCATGAGTGGAAGTGGATGGATTTGGGATCTCTCCTGCCTTTTCACTGTGTGGGAGATTTCCTCACTGGGAGCTTTGATCCATGGATTCCAAAGCCCAGGGGGTTTGTCCTTCCCAAGAAATGTTTTTCATTCCATTCCCTCYAAATCCCTCTCAGTTTTGGMACAACWCCACAGCAGGTGAGTYCCTGGAAGAGGAGAGTGGCCAGCTCTGTGCTTTAATCCAAATTTTTAATTCTGGTGGTGCTGGAGTTAATGTTGGATCTTTGATGCAGGTGGAGCCTGGGAGATTCCTGATCCCGACAAATCCCCCTGCTGGAATGGTAAAGGGTGAGGCCTTTGTGACCTCCAGGAGTGGGGATGTGACAGGAGGGACATGGGGATGTGACAGGAGGGACATGGGGATGTGACAGGAGGGACATTCCAGGCTGGGACCCCTCCCCTGCTCCAAACCCCTGGGGCACGAGGGCTCCAGACCCCATGGTGGACATGGGATCCTTCCTGGGAGCTGAGGATTCTCACAGAGCCCTGAAATTCCAGGAGCAGATCCTGGAATTGCTGTGCCCTTCCATTTGAGGGATCACAGCAGCGTTTTTGGGGCTCTGAGCCATCCCAGGCTGGGATCTGTTATTTCCAGGTTGAACAAAGTGCACAGGAAGAAGCACTTCCCTGGATTTCACACAGCAATGGTCTCTCAGGAGCCATCCCAACAGCGTTTAACCTTTTTCTGGGATTTTTGCTGCTCCTCTTTGAGCTCCTGTCCCTCAGCTCCCTCCAAACCAGCCTTCCCAAGCACTACTGGGGTTTTCTCCCTCYCCCCAGGCCCAGATGGATCCGTTGCTCCAGCCCAGATGGATTTTCTGCGCTCAGGCTGAGTCACGGCCAGGGCTGGAGCCACGATTCTCCCTGGCAGGGGCAAACACTGGGGGAGGATGGCACTGGAGAGCCTCAAATTCCCAGTCTGGATTAAATCCCCTGAGCCAGAGGCATATCCATGACCCAGGACTGGCTGCTCTCTGTGTCTGCCTTTGTTTGGCACTGCTGATCCACACTCTGCTGTCTGTGCTCCCTTTATATTTCAAAAAATAAAGTCCTTCTAAATCTTTTTTTTCATCAATTTTGATATTTCTCCCATTTCCTGACCTGACCCAAGAGCTGGCTGGATCCTGGTGGGATTCCTGGCCATCCTTGCAGTAACTGATGGAGACTGATGGTGTTTAGGAATTCTGTTTGGTGCTTTAAATATGAAAACTCTGATGGTGATGAGTTTGAGGAAAGGAAAAACAACATAAGGATGTGAGTGATCCATGGATCTCAGTATTCCAGCTGGAAAAACGGGGAGCTCTGGGAAGGGAAACACGGGAAAGACACGGGAACCACGTGAGGAAACRGGAATGGTTTCAKGTGGAAAGGGACTGGGGAAGCTACRGAGCTGCCAGAGCTGCCAGAACAAATAAACGATGGGTAAAGAGGGAAAATCGTGCTGGGGATGGAAATCGAGCGGTGCTGCYGCCGTTATTTATCCACAGTGAATTGTTGTCCTGAGGGGATTTGGGGAGGAGGAGAGAGGGAGGGGATGGGACCCACATGGGACATCCAGAACATCTGAGCAGGGCTGAGCTCTTCCTAACCAAACCCAGGATCAACCCCTGCCTTTCACCCATGGATGGAAATTTGGGAAAAATGGGGCCAGCCGGTTAAATCCTCATGAGCCTCCACACCAAATCTGCACCCCCTTGCAATCACTCATTATGGATGATGATAATTATTGTTAATTATCTTTCCCTTTCCCAAAGAGATGTGCACTGTGGAGGCACCAGGAAGACTTTGGGAATGACTCTTCTGGTGGAGGCTTTGACAGTGGCATCACAATCCCTTCCCAAGATGGATGTGAAGGATGGTGGCACTCAGAGCCTGAGGGCAGCACGGGCCGGTGCTCCCAGGAATCGCTGCTTTGGGAAAAAAATGTGGGAATTATTGATTTAGGGAAAAAACCTGGGAATCGCTGCTTTGGGGAAAAAAAGCTCACAATCACTGGTTTGGGGGAAAAAAACTGGGAATTTTTGGTTTGGGGAAAAAACCTAGGAATTGCTGTTTCGGGAAAAATGTGGGAATTGCTGCTTTGGGAAAAAAAATGTGGGAATAAAAACCTGGGAATCGCTGCTTTGGGGGAAAAAAATTCGCAATCGCTGTTTGGGGAAAAAACGTGGAAATTGCTAGTTTGGGAAAAAAAAACTGGGAAATATTGGTTTGGGGAAAAAACCTCACAATCTCTGGTTTGGGGAAAAAAAAAAGGGAATTATTGGTTTGGGGAAAAAAATGTGGGAATTGCTGGTTTGGGAAAAAACAGGAATGGTTTTGGGAAAACAACCAATGCTATGGTTGGGAAGAGTTGCTTTTCCAGGGAGAGAGGAGGGAAAAAAAACCCCAAGGCTCAGCAAAAAGCCTGGCAGCTTGCTGGTGTGGAGAGTGACTCATCCCATCGAGCGGTCCAGATGTCGGAGGAAATATTGGGATGCATCCGAAACGCTCCTGGCTCCCGAGTGGCTCTTTAGATCCGTTCAAAATCTAATTGCTCCGGCGATCGGCGTTATCACAGCCAAGGGCGGGTGGAGCAGGATCCATTTGCTGTAGTTAAAAGCTCTGTCAGGAATTTCAACTAATAAAGGGAATAATCAGAGGCCTGATGAAAATGTTTAAATTCGTGGGGAGATAAGGGAAACACCTCCCGGCTTTGCTGGGRGGAGACCGAGGCCGAAGCTGTGGCTGAGCAGCAGGGATCGAAAATGGATGCGATGCTCCTGCCCGAGTTCCCCCGGGCAAAGGGATTTGGAGCATCCTCAGCTCCACAGTGTGGTTCACCACGGAGCCCTGAACAGGCTCCATTTCCAGCTTCTCGTAGTTCCAAATGTATATTTTGCTCTTTGCCTTTTTTGTCCCTTTTTTGGCATGGAGTGATGCCACGTCCCGGCTGGGTGGGAGGCACCGGGGTTGGGATGGGGTGGGAGATCTCCCTGGGGAGGAGCTGCTGAGGGCAGAGCGCCATCCCTTCTCCAGCCCCTCATTCCCATTTTCCTACAACTCTTAAACCCCCGGGAGAGGGATTTGGGGTCTGGGGTGAGTCCCCACCTCCTGCAGCTCCCTGGATGTGCTGTGCATCATCTGCAGCTCCTCTCTGCCTTGRAGAGGGGGAATAAACAACTCTCGGGAGATGAATAATTTATCAAAAGTCAAGGGAACAGGCAGATTTCAGCCYTGGGCTTGGGGCAGAGGTTTTAATGAGGGAAGAGGGGACAATTCCTGGGGCAGAGCCGGGTCCTGGCTGATTTGTATCCCTGAATCCCGGTGGATGCCMAAGGTCTCGGCTTTCGGGGTCCCAGGGGTCCCCTCAATCCCGCTGAGCAGCGCAGGAGCTGGGAGATGAGATGATTTAGGAAGGACCTGCCTCCCCCTTCCTCCTGAAATAACCATTCCCCGTCTCCACGYAGGCAAAACAACGCCCGATCCTAACCCAGATTCGCAGCGCAAATAATCCATCCAGCACCTCCSGGCGCTGCGAGGGATTTCGGGAAGCGCGCTCCGGGTGTGAGATCCACGCAGGCTGGAACAGGCGCCGTCTCCCAACCGCCCGCGTTCCACCGGCATTCGGCACGGCTGGAATTGGCCGGGCTCGCTCCGAGAGCACCGCGAGGGAAAAGGCTGGAGCCTTTTTGGTGACACCCGGTGACAAAGGCACGCGTCACCCTGCAGCCAGCGCCGGACCTGGCACAGCCGGCCGGGCCGTGAACCCCGCCTGGCGTCCCGAGGGCGAGCGGTGCCCGGTCACCAAGGATGGGTGCAGGGGTGACTGTGAGTGTCACACCGTCACCCCGGGCTGTCCCAGGGGCTGGGCTGGCCCTGGCCGGGCTCTCAGAGCCATCAGCYGTCCCAGCGCTCTGCAGACGCGGCCGAGCCGCCCAACCCGTCGGGGAGCTTTGGGAATGGCGCTGCGGCAGCGTCTGGMTCTGCAGGCGCTTCCCTCCTCCCAGCGCCTCTGGGGCCGCCGGCTCTGCTGGGATGAGCCTTCCCTGGCCCACAGATCCCACAGGGTCTGGGGTTCCTCGTAATGATGGGAACCACAGCCCCTCACAGCTCTCACGGGTTTGGGGTCCCTCATAAGGATGGGGACCACAGCCTCTCACAGCTCCACAAAGTCTGGGGACCCTCATAATGATGGGAATCACAGCCCCTCAAAGCTCTCATGGGTTTGGGGTCCCTCGTAGTGGTGGGGACCACAGCCCCCCCACAGCTCTCATGGGTTTGGGATCCCTCATAATGATGGGACTCACAGGCCCTCACAGATCCCACAGGGTTTGGGGTCCCTCATAATGATGGGAATCACAGCCCCCTCTCGAGCGCCTTTCTCCATCAGTGTCCACTCTGGACCCAACCCCGCACTCCAAAGGTGTGAGACATGCACAGAAGGCAGTGTCAGGGTGGCAGGGYTGGCACCACGGTGATGGGCCTGTCACTGTCACCTGTCCTTGGGCTGGAGGGACTGGTGCCAGCCCACAAGGTCACCCTTTTCCAGTACAGAGCCTTCACTCTGCTCCCAGTTCCCCAGTTTGACGGTTCCCAGGTCCTGGGAGCTCACGTCGTCATTCCCAACTGGAGCTCGTGTCTTCGACGCCTCGCCCCTACATCTGTGGGGTCACCCCAGTGCCGTATCCTCACCCCTACATCTGTGGGGTCACCCCAGTGCCATATCCTCACCGGGGAGGGTTTGGCTGAGCGCTTCCTCCCCATGCCCGGATCGGAGCGGGCAGGGCCGCAGGGCAACACGTGCTCCTCTCCAGCCACATCCCCAGCGTCCGAGGGCAGGTGTCACCACACCCCACGCCGTGTGTCCTGCACCGCGTCCCACCCCTTCTCTCGCTGCGAGCGCTCAGCAAAACAGGCACCGGGGAGCGGAGGTGTCGGGATGAGATCTGAAAACCGGCGGGGGAGAGATGCCCACGGGGCGCTCGGGTGCGCCGAGACCCCGGGGGGACTGGGGCGCCGGGCTTGGCCGGGCCGCGTACGGCGCCGCGGGAGCAGCCGCGCTGGCCCGGGGCCGTGGCACGGAGCTGCCGCCGCTCGTTGGACGCCGCCGTCGGTGCGGGGCGGCTGGATCTGCCGTCAGCCGGAGCGGTTTATCCTGCTTCACTCCTGCCAGGCTGCTGGGGCTGTCCTGCAGCTCCGCCACCCCTTCGGGCTGCTCCTGGTGTCCCTGCCCGCGCCTCGGCTGGCGCTGGGACACATTCGGCTGGCGCTGGGATGTTCGGCTGCCCCGCAGGTGAGGCCCTGAGCAGCTCACGGCTCTCCCAGCGCGGCCCTCGGGACCTTCCCGAGCCTGTCCCCCGCACCCTGCTCGTGTCCCCCGCTTTGCGCTGCTGCGGCTGCTGGACCGATCCCCGATCGATGGGTGCTCTAATTACCCTGGGCCCGGGGGGATCCAGAGGATGGGGGCGGAGGGGGATGCTGGA